CGTTTTTGGGGAGGATGTGAGCAATTTTCGATCACCCTGGCGTTTCTTCCCTCTCCTGGTCTTAGCGCTAATGTCACCTTACTGGCTCATTGGTTCTTAAATGCCTCGCTTCGTTTTCGAATGTCCCCCTTATGGCCCGAGCGCCGTGTGTTATTACGTAACGAGCGCGGACCGCGACGCGACCGCACGCTCCCTTAACGCGATTGTGACAAGGCATTTTTACACAAAAATGCGCTCCAATACTGGGACGCATAGCCCCAAAAATCAGTTGTTTTGCTATAAAATGTAAATGTTCAAAATTCGATTATAATTTCAAATTATGATGATTACTGTTGCATTGAAAAACGACCCTAAAATGCTAGGATTATAAGGTTCAAAACGACTCAATATGTTCATTTCCATAAAAATATGTGTAGTCTCAGCCTTCCAGGGATCCCTCGGTCATGGTTAGCGTGCCAGTTGTGACAGAACAATCGAAGAAAGATTTCAATTTCCCAAAGGTACCACCAAATCCATAATTGAACCATGGAACATTTTGACACTAAAAATTTGTTTCAGGTTGAACTTCATCTCCATCTTGACGGATCGATACGCTTCTCCACACTACTCGAGCTTTCTTTGTAAATTTCCCACTCAATATGCATTTAAACTAAACTGGTGAGATATTGATTTTTTCAGGGCACATGGTACACCATTAAAGGGTGCAAAGACGGTCGATGAACTGAAAAAAGTGCTGATCACCCATGAGCCGGCGAATCTCTCAAAGGTCTTGGAAGCATTCGATCTGTTCCTTCCTATCGTTCGGTAAGACTGCCACATTCCTTAGATATATTGAACATTTTTCAAAGGTTATCACGTAAGCTACGCTAAGAAATGCCGTTATCAAGACGCCCACACTAATTTTTCATCTTGGGCCTTATCAGTGGGAGTAATCCGATTGTCGAGAAATAACCATGAAGTAAGGCTGGTAAGGCAGTTGAGGCGAGCAGAGCTAGGTAAAGCCCGGGCAGGAATGGTGCTCTGGCAATTTGATAGGCTCTTTGGGGTTGCGCCATGTAACTGCATCTCTTCAAAGTAGCTCAAAAACGTCGATATTCAACACATCGGATAGTTTATTCCTTCTTTGATCAGCCCATGTATTTTAGCGGAGACAAAGCTGCCATCGAGCGGATCGCATATGAGATGTGCGAAGACCAAGCGGCCAATGGAGTTATCTATTTCGAAGGCCGATACTCACCTCACTTACTTTGCCTCCCAGGTGGAGAGGTATTTATTATTTGCTCCTTCTGTAGAATATGACAAACTAAAAAAGTGTGGTACGTGCAAACGAGGACGAAATCACTAGCACGCAAGGGCCGGCAGTAAGGAAACAAGGAAAAGAATCCGGAAAAGGAAAGGAATCGCGCGATTCGCAAAGTCTGACATCGGCCCTAGTGTTAGGGCGTCAAATCTGCATCATGCTAAGGCATTGGAACTCACGAGTGCGACATGGCCTAGAGTATAGGCCAGCGCACGAGAGCACAATATCTGAGAAGGCGCCGGACAACGGCCTGCTGCAGGCAGGAAACATTGCAGCTGCTGCATCTCACTTTGCAAGCCCTTAAGCCTGTGTCGGGCGATTTCCATGCAGGGGAGTGCAACATCTGTGATTATCCTCTACGTGTCTACCCTACGGAGCTGTGGTGACAAACGACTTCTGCTGAGTTGTGCCTTTAACATAGATCCTTCGGCTGTTTGGGAAGCACCCTGGTCAGATCATAATGACTAGCGTTTGACAGTCTAACACGCTTGTTCTGATCGGTTTCCAGAATACGACTTTGGAGTCCTGGCAGTTCAACGGGTTTGTGTAGAGGAAGGTTGAACAACAATTGGGAACTGATAGAGCTCAAAGGCACCACCCACGATCAAGTGAGCTTCATGTGGAAGTAAAGGTGCAACTAGTGAGGGAAAAAAGGAAGTAAAGCCAAACGGAGTTCAATGATGGCTCTTTTTCGCGAGCTTTAGGGAGTGTTAAGGGTTGGGCCGTGAGATAAGAGATAGTGAGGGCCACCGCGAGAAAACGACAGGCGTCGACGAGAGAGCATAGCAATAATCGATACCCAGTGCTGCAACAGTGAACGTACCCTTCATGGGCCTTGGTCCCTTCTTCCTGTTTTACTGCGCGAAAGTGGTGCCACCCTTGCAGTTGCTGGCCCAGCAGCCCATTTCGCTTTAAGGTTTGAACCAGTGAACCTAATCGTGGGTTGTGATTGTAATGTGGTTGATATTGTTCTGATAATGGCGTTGAAAGCTAAGTGAAAGGTAAACGAAGGCTAAAAGTGCTAGGCGCTGAGAATTTACGGAATTTGGAACTTAAAAAGCTAGTAAAATTAGATTTCGCTGAACTCCATAAAAGGAAGTGCAATTGACCCAGGTATTTTTATCCGATTGTGTTGAGCATTCCAAACAACTAATTTATGTTGCGAAAACTTTTCACATTGTTAACGATCGAATGAGTTAATGATATCGAATAAAATTAGACCATGTTTTAGTTGACCCCAGTTGGAGTAGTTGAGGCCGTGAAACGGGGTTTCGATCGCGGTGAAGCCAAATTTGGTGTGAAAGCCAGATCGATTGTCTGCTGTATTCGTGGCCTTGACCAGTACGCCGATGACGTTCTGCAGATTGGTTGGTTTTTTCGTGAAGTTTTCTATTTTCTGGTGTTTTATATCGCCGCAGTAAAATACTCAACCGACTGGCCCTTTTCAGCAACAGACTGCCGTCATCTCGGTGTTGTCGCAATTGACGTCGCCGGTTCGGCTCACGGCGCAGACGAGCAATACGAAGCAAAAGTTGTACATATTTTCCAGGTACGTGTTGCCATTGCCGATTGATGAGCTGCCAGCTATGCTCCAAAATCACTGGGCAAATCGTAATATCGTATGGAAGGGGGTTGAAATGGACCGGGATCAATGCATCTTTTTTGGGTGCGCCACAGGACACTGCTTCCTTCCATCCTGACTTCGATGTCTTTAATAATTTGGCCAGCTGCAGCCATCCAAATGTCTAGGCACCTTCATCGGCACACCCAGATATGGCTGTCAACCATTCCGTGAATGGAAGAGGACCTGTAATGTACGTGAACTCGCAGTGATCGCGCGTGCCAGTAACAGAACATCATGCCACTGCTCTACTCACTCCTCAGATAAATAACAAATATATCTGTAGATAGCGGCTCAACAATATATTTTCACTTCTATCAGAATTTTAATAAGTTTTGTTTTAGGAAGCTTACAAACGAGGAATTCATCGTACGGTACATGCAGGAGAAAGTGGTGGTGCCAAGGAAGTGCTCAGGGTGACTATATTATTATTGGTTATCGCTAACGAAATATCAAACCCAATCGAGGTCTTGTTGAGGTGTGAGCAAGGATAAGCCATGCATATGAGGCTTGGGATTGGACGCTGTGAGTAATTGTTTATCTAAGGAAGTCGGAGGGGAATCGACCCATTGCCTGTCTGCCCGGTCTGCGTGTACCTTCGAAATCTGTTCTTTTTTAATCGATAACTGGTCATATTTTTATTAATGATGGTATGCATACTGCTATTCTAGCCCTCTAGAACTTTTGATGGCAATTTTGACATATGAAAAATGACAGTTAAATAAAAAAAAGCATTGAATCTACCGCGATTGCTGTGCAAAACATATGAACCGGTGTTCACGATAATGGGTGTAAATAACTGTTCTCGAAGATCACTCTTATTCGAATGGGTCCGAAAATTATCACAATTTTTCCAATCTTCTAAATTTTCGCAGTTCTTCAGGCTATAAATGATATGCATGCGGATCGAATTGGTCATGGTTATCGTGTGATGAGGGATCCTGAGATGTACAGAAAGTGAGTTATCTGCTTTTTTGAACCTTTCATATAGAAAATCACTCAGATGACTCGAATTTCTGGAAAAGAAGGCAGGTTTTGCATCGATATTCATTTGTTTGGTATATTATTGAGCCCATTTGTATTAATTAATTATTTATTCACTTCAATTTAGTTGTAGGTGTTACTAATTATTTTATCGTATTTACTACAGTTTCAGTTTTTTTCATAATTTTGTATTTTGTGATTAAAAGGCTGGCAAGCACTGAGCGATACGTTCATTTTTGCAGGTACTTCGTAGATGACCATCGAATTCATCTAGAAGCGTGTCCGTATTCATCAATAATGACTGGAGCGGTTCCTCTGGATTGGAAGAATCACCCCATTGCAAAGTAAGTGCTTTCGCTTGTTGATACAACAAGGGACAGAACGAGCAGGACCAACCGTGCGTGAGGTGTAAGTTTTCAATGGATGGGTGGTCGTATTTATGAAATATGCTTGCAAAGGGGGTCGTATATTGGGACTTGGATATTAGTCAAAGGGAAAGGGTCTGATGTCGCGAATGCATAGAATTCGCTGGCTGAATTGGTCGCGTCGGAGAAATAGCTACGGAATCAGAAATGAAGGTATCTGTTTTGAGGCACACCCCGCTATGAGTTTAGGTGGTGGGTAGGGTAATGCTGCGCACCAAAGTCATAGATGTCCGGTCCTTCCAGCTCAAAATTGCGCCGCAATGCGCTAGGGCCGTCCTGAAACCCCAGCGACTGACTTCCTTCTTATTCATTCACATGGCTATGTACGCCCTATCGTCTGTGCGTGATTCGTCTACACTCTCTGTGTTTAGATTCTCATTACCATAGCCGATTTACAATAGAATGGAAAACTCGTAATTCTAGCAGTTCTTATTGTTTGTTGTACCTGCCATACCGAGGTTTGAAAAGAGTGACCGTTGTTTATTGAAACGGCATAACGTTTCGACAAATCGTCGTCCTCAGAGGCCTAAATGTGGTTCAAGGTTGATGTCTACATTCTACTCCACCAAGCGCCCTATCCGCTCTAACGGTTCCGACGTTCCGTCAGAGCTCCACAGAGAAACATCAACCAAGGGTGAAGTTGGCTCACCCAGGGCTCCACCGTTTGCGAGCGTATTCCGCAACCACACGCGGGCTTCGTCAGTAAGAAGTAATGCATACTGCACTGTTTCCCGATTAGAAGCATTTGACAAGCGTGCACGCCAGGCTTTAAGTGTCATCTCGAGTGCGTGTATACAACGGCCGAAGGATACTTTGCTCGCGTCGAAGATCGCTCATCTCGGTTGTTCATCGCTGGGTGCTTCTAAAGCTTTTCTAGCAAGGTTTTCCGTTTCATTCGCCAACACAGTACATACACTTCATTTCGAATTCATTGCCACTGTACTTCTCATTTTTGTGCCTCCCAAGAGCTTTAAAAAGTACCCGCGTCCTCATGTTTAGCCAGGTTTCTTTGATACGAGTGAGGCCCTTTGCTTCCCTGATTTCTTTTGTCTGCAAGGATCGTGCCAGTTTGATCGTGATGTTGGCCATCCAGAGCAGAGTCAACCCTGCGTTGCGCAGTTCTCAACGGCCACGTTGCGCAGTTTCGCCCGATTAGACACGTTCTCTCGCGCGAACATTCACACTCGCATGCTCGAGCCGTCTGTGTCTCCGCCCATACAGCGTGCGTTGAGGATCTCTCAACGTGCCGTTGAGAACTGCGCAACGCACGGTTGACTCTGATCCAGAGCTTTCTAGATTAGGCGGAATGTGCTGTACATCAAAACTGGCCAATCTTGCCTTTTTTCAGATGGGCCAAAGACAAGGTGAACTACTCGATTTCACGTGATGATCCGACTTGCTTCGACAATACGATGTTAAGTGAACTACAACTTGTACGAGACGAAATCGGCCTCACCCCTTATCAACTCTGGCAATGCGTGAGTTTTGTTCATTTTTTCGCTCCATCGCTCTGGCCCATGAGTCAAGAAATCTGCATGCGCACAGTGCATGGTTGGTCAAACTCCTCTTACTGTGAAGAATTTTTCAATGCCCACTATCTCCAGAGTGTAATTAACTACAGATTAGGGAAGAAGATTCTACCGCCCTTTCCTCTGAGGCGCTCCTGTTGTCAAAGTAGATCATCGAAGCTTTTCACGGAGGTATTTCAATTCTGCACTATACGACTAATTATGTGCTGTAGGCGAATGTAACCCATTAATTCAATTTTGCAGTTGGCACTGGCCAGTTTTGCAGTGGATTTGACGCCAACTTTAAGGGCGGAGTTTATGATGAAAAGGCAGCCCAATTAGAAATCAGGGTAGCGGTGGCCAGAGAACGAAGAAACACCGCCTTAGAACTCGACGGCGCTCCCTTTAACCGTTTGCTCTTCTTGCTGAGTGAGTTCATCAGTGCTGACGTCCTCAGTGCCAGCGCTCTGCTCTGCGTCTCTGTTAAGAGTCCTCAGCTAGAGTCCGACGGCCAGGGCTTAGCCATTCTGTGGGTGAACTGCGACGCAGTTACGGTCAGGCACGCCTTTGCCAAGCCAAGCCTCCTTCGCTGCTGTTAAGAAGTGGTATTTTATTTTCTGCCTTGGTGACGGTTTCCTCCATTTTTCTTTATTTCCGTTCTACTTCGCATCTCTCACCTCAATTCGACTCGACTTATGGCTTTGAAAACGAAATTTCAATATCTCATTGGGAAAGTGGCGCTTGAATAGGCCTCATTCTCCTCCAAATCATGGGCTCACCGCCTGAAGTTGGAGTACTACAGCAATTTCAAAAAATTTATGACCCTTTTTTGGACGCCACTATTTTTTGTTATTGAGCCATTTCCCATGGACATAATTTCAATTCCTTTCTTTATTGTGGATTCGCCCATTCCAAGCGAACTGAATGCGGCGCGCATTCGACGCTCTTAACGGAGGAAGCAGAACGGCCAATCGTGAGAAGATTCCTCGCAGGATCTGAACCGCGCGAATAAGAAACGAAGGATGGTCACCGAGAACCGAATCGTTCCCACCAATGATTTTCCAATTTTTCACAACAACTTATTGATTGATCGCTTTTGTGGCACGTCATGTGGGCCGTCAATTAGTCGCATTCACTTGTATTTTTTATGGGTGTTTCCATGTCAAGGTGTGCCCAACACTTTTCTCAGACAACGAACAAAAAAAAGAATAACAACGATCATAAATTGTTCGAATGGTATTGAATTAAGATTAAGGGTTCTTTTCAGTCGGGCCGGTCAAGGATATATTGCAATTGGTCTTCAGACGTCTGTCAACGCGTGACCTTAAGGCTTAAACGAGCGCGACCTGCCGCACTTCAAGAACATTTCAGGAAAGGCTACTTGTCGCATACCTTTGCAATACAAGAGACTTTGTTCTGAATTTACATTTGTGGTTTGGTTGTTTCCTTGCAGAACCACCTGAAAAAAGTATTGGACAAAGTACATGGATTCGACTTTCAGATGAATCTTGGAATGGTCTCAGGACTTCTGTCAACCGTGAGGCTTGGCGGTTCAGCGTTTTGTAGTGATGTCTGGGAGCTCTCACAAGTGCACACTATCACAGCATCTCCTCTTTCTTTATCTTCTTCAAAAGGCTTAGTCCCAATAAGACACAAAGTGTGTGCTTTTCCAGCTACGCTCTCACCCTTTGGTTGACAGAAGCCTTGTAACCGCCATTGTATGACAACAAAAAAGTGGTGTTTCGGTAGTGTCTGATAGATTGTTTTTATATGGGGATGCTCCCGTTGCAGTCTACATCACTAGCAACGTATGAGCAAATTCGTTGCCCCTTTGTCGAGGTTCGAGCCCTAGTACACTCCTCTCTTTCTCCACGGTTAGTAGGGATGATCCCCTTCTATACTACTGACATCCTCATTTTCGAAAGCCGATGGTGTCAGTAGTGTCACAAAACCTGGTACTATTGAAACTTTTCCAACTCCATCCCCAAACTCCAGTGGACATAGAGTATAGGACCGATACTCGTCCAAAAATCCAACCTAACGTTTAGAAATACTAATAGACATCCTCCGCGCACAAAGTCAATATGAGATCCCCCCCCCCCATAGTCGAAGATTCCGTCAAGACTTTGCTGGTGGCACTTATGCTGGTGTAGTGTACGGCCCAAAGAGAGCGATTCGTAGAGCGTGACTCCAGCATCACATCATATTCGACCATCAAAACTTAAAGGCACAGTCCGAGATTGGGCACGTTCACTTTCCATCCCGATCGCGGTAGACCGGCGGACAAGCGTTGATGTTGTGCTCTTTTACGCAAAATGCTCGGCAAAAGCATTAAAAGATTGCTTGACCCGCAATCCACACCTTCGTCCGCAAGTCCTTTCTTCCGCTACTGGCTGCCACGGCTGCCACGCTGATGCTCAAGAAGAGCGCGGCCACAGTTACGGCAGCATTAGCATTGCGGCTCAATGTTATTTATTTGAAATGGAGCAACTGGAGCTAGCCGTTCGTGAAAATCCTCCAGACACGCCCTTCTCCATCCTTGCGTGGATTGTGCCTTTGTTCGAGGCGTACTCGAGGGTTTCTTTTGCTTTTTTCTTTACCAAACCACTGCCCATCTCCGGGCTTCATTATTGAACGCTCCCACACACTAGATCTGTCCAGGGGCTTGCGTTCAATTATGTAAGCATTTGACCCCGACCTCACTTGGTCCTGCCCTAGACGGGTTGTCGTAAAGATGTTTCCAGCAAGGGGGGTGGGCGTCTTTCTTGTAGGTACAGGACAAGGATCATATTTGGCGACATAGGTCTTCGTTTTCATTTTTCGAGGGTAGGAGAAGAGAACTTTCTGGAAAGGAGGTGGAAAGTCAACGGGAAATTGAAGAAATTCAAAAATTCTGCTTTTTAAAGTAAACCTCCCCGGAAAATTTGTATTCTTTCCCAAAATGAATATGTCAGTTGTTATGAGCGCAAGCTATGAAACCCACATTCTACGGACGGCAAAAGGTAAGTCGCACGGAGCCAAGGCGGGGATTGGAAAGAAGTCCGTCTTGTTTCGGCTACGTATCAGGCTGACGCATTGGAAGATTCGGGTTGGAGAATAGGGACAAAACGATCGATAGAATATGATGCAGTAGAAGTATGATGTTAGTGGAATAAGTCAAAAGGTCAAAAAAGTTTCTAGTGACAGCACTCCGTGAACCCAGTGGAAGCGTTTCCACCGCCAGCATTTGTGACAGACGGCGGGAATTTGAACGCGTAACAGTCCCTCTTTCCAGTTTCTCGAATTCTTCATCAAAAAGCGTTCTTTTCGGTTCTCATCGTGGCAATGGCGTATCAAACAGTTGTATTGGTGAGCTGAGATAGGATTCATGGTTTTCAGGAAGAATTCCTTCGAAGGAGGATTCCGTCTAGGTTTAATAGTGAGGGACGAGAAGTTAACCTAGTAGAAACACAGGCGCAATCTCCTAGGGTGTGCAGTGAACAAAAAATTTCGTTACGAAGTAATCGTGCTCCTACCAATCTAGATTGGCCTTCCGCGAGCGCTTATCACGCGGCACCCGCCGGCTGTGCTAACCATCGCCCAGGTTTATCAGCAGAGAGAATCGTCAGCCAATAGAGAGCAGCACGAAAGGTCGCATCTGCGGGATCAACGGGCAAGGACTGGGTCCACTTTTTGGTGCTGAGGCAGTTTTCATGCTTTGTTTAGTTTTTTCCAACGAACAGTACCTTCGCTTCACCGACCCACTTAGCTTTGGAGGCATGAAATTTCTAAGTGCGGCAATGGGTGGAAGGCTAAATGTCGAGATTTGCTAGAATCCAAAGTTGAAAATAGACAATTGTTCAGACGAAAGGAGCTTTTCAAAGATGACGTTTTTTGGCGATAGAGTGTCAAAATTGTAAAGTTCGGACCTTTTAGTTTGGAGAATGTCAATTTTATTGGAAACTCCAATCGGTACATGAAAGCAGCATTGAAATATCACGTTGTAATAAGAATGACATCAATGACAGGATAATGTTAAAGAAACAGACTTGAATTGTCGGGAACATAGTGAATAGAACAGGAACAGTTCATTCATGTGCACTTCAATATTCCTTTATCTTCTATTTTATTCTAGAAGGTATGATTTTCGTTGTGTACTGTAACCGCTTGTCGCCATAAACATCAACAATTGATACGGCAAATGAAACTGAAATCAAGGAACTATAGCTTGTTACTGAATTTAAATTGCGCAGTTCTGAAGTGCGTCACGACGAACCCAATTGACTCGACACTGGAAAATGAATAGATGGTAACAGGATGGTGTCGGCTTTTTTTCGGTGAAACTCCAGTTTGGGGGGGGGGGCACTCCATTGCTATCTTATCCGTAGTACTAGAGAGCAGTTCTTTGGGCTATCGAACACTACGGATAAGATAATAAGTGAACGACTCATTTCGAGCGTACTTTTGATAAGGACCGGTGGATGTCCTACATTCCACACTACCTGCCCACATCCCATCCACTTTTCTGCACAGGTGATCCACCCCTGGAGCTCCTGCACCCTTAGCCCTTTGCGGAGGTGTCCTTTCTCCTGGTCCAGGACCGTTCCCTTGGGTCATGGCAGGCGGAAATGTGAAAACGTTTCAGGGTTTCTCACCCATTACACCAATATTTATCAGAAGTCTACTTTAAATGAGTCGATTACGTGTCGTGGAGCCCTCTCTATCCT